GTGTGTGTGTGTGTGTGTGTGTGTGTTACAGCTCAGCCCTGGGCTCCTGTGTGTGTAGCACGTCAGCACTTCTTGGAACTGACCTCCATCACCTTTTCATGGGGGGGGGGACAGGCAGGTGCCTGGGATAGAAGCCAAGAGAAAACTCACCCCTTTCTCTTACTTGGGTCCCTGAAGGTTGCAGAAAAGTGGGATACCTCTAGTCTAAGACCTCCCAGTGAAGGCACCCCACGACTCAGAACGTCCCACTCTCAGGGAACTCTGAAGGTCTAACCCAGGCTTCTGTGGTGACCCTACCAAGAAGTCACACAACCTCTGCTCGCATACTTCTAATGACAGGGAGCTCCCCACCTTAGGCTGATGGCTATTTATGGCCAAATTTAATAGGTCTTCAGATCGCTAAGGACAAAATTCTCTCCCCCAGGATAGACACTCCCAATTCCTGAAACTGTCACTACCAGTTCCCCTCCTGCAGAGAACCTTAGTCCTGTGCTTCTAGTGCCAAGCCTGACCATGTCACCTGCTTTGTTTTAAGGCACAGACCTCAATAAACACCTTTCTTCGGCGATTCTTCCAGCTTGTGGTTAACTGAGAGCCTATGACCTAAGCTGTTTTACCCAGGCTGGCCTTTAATCCTCACCTGTCACCCCTTCCCCGGCAGCTTTGTGATTAATCTGGGCCAGGGGACAGATAAGCTGGACCTGCATTTCAACCCGGGCTTTGGTGAATCCACCATTGTCTGCAACTCTGGACGGCAACAACTGGGGGCAGGAGCAACCGGAAGATCACTTGTGCTTCAGCCCAGGGTCAGACGCCAAGGTGAGGTAGAAGGAAAAAGGGGCCTGAGGACAACGTCAAAGGGAGAGCCCAGGTGGCAGGGAACCCTGGCCTAGACAGTGTTGGCACTGTCCGAGCACCGGGCACTGCCTTGGCCCATTTTCAGGGTGCCTCCTGCCTCCCTGACACCCTCCCTCCCACTGCAGTTCACCGTGACCTTTGAGTGACAAATTCAAGGTGAAGCTGCCAGGCGGGCGTCAGTTGGCCTTTCCCAACAGGCTGGGCCACAGCAGCCGGAGCTACCTGAGCGTGCTGGGTGGGTTCAACAGCTCCTCCCCCCAGCCTGAGCTCGCAGCACCTCACCCAAGCTTCTTCCCAACCACGGGGCATCCATGGCCCCTGGGGCCTGGCTCCCCACCTCTGGCCCCTCTGGCCCCATTTTCCTCCCCCAAGGCTAAGGCCAAACTTCAGAATCCACCTTTATCCTTTCTGTGGCAGAAATTGTGGTTCGTGTTCCCCATGCATTTTAATGCTCATGAGGCAGAGGAGGAAACTGAGGCACAAGGTCATAGGACTACCAAGTTGGGGCTGGGACACACCTCCAAACACCTCTAAGCACTGACTCCTGACTACCTATCCCCTGTTATCACCAGGGCAAGTGCCAAGCTGCCCCGTGGGATTAGAGGCAGGTACTGGTTCCAGGCGCCTGGGCCAGGGGCTGTTCCCGGAACTGCAGATAAGGGCTCCCACCTGGGTCTCTTATCTCGGGAACATTCATTCCAGCCTGGTTACTCATTACCCGTCTCGGCCCCTCCGTTCACTGGGGGCCCTGAGGGGGTCCTTGGCTTCCAAACCCAATGCTGAGGGTATTTAAGCAGGTGGAGCTGACACTGTACTCCCAGGTCCCCAGACATCTTGCAGAACACCTTTTATCAAAAAAGCCATTTTTAATCAGGACCCAGAGGCAGGTCTGGGGTGCGCAGGAAGGTGGGAGATCACACCTGGTTTTACCTTGAGGCTTCTGGGACGAGTGAGGGTGGGACTGGGAATGCTGGGGAAGCAGCCTTAGTGAGGGCTGGGGCTCAGGGATGCAGCAGGACCCTGCTGGGGGCAGCTCCAGGGTGAGCTGAAGCAGCCGGTCCCTTTGGGAGGAGACAAAGGCCCTGTGTGATATGCTCCCTATCCCCCACCCCGCAAGGACAGCTTGCCCAGCACAAAGGCGGCACTGTAAGGCTGGGCCCTCCAGCCAGTGGGGGCGGGGCCGCAGGAATGGCCACTGGGTCCAGAGTGGCAGTGGGGGAAGCAGGTCAGTTCGGCAGGGCCCTCGGGGAACAGCCAGGTCCCAGAACAAGCCTGGCCTTCCTCCCATGTCTGTCCGGCAGAGGCGTGGGGAGTTCGGGGGCAACTTAGGTTCTCCCACCTATCATTGCAGAACCCAGCTGTCAGGTGAGGGGCGGGCTCTGCCCCTGGGCTCTTCACGGGCAGTGCCTGAGGCTGGGCAGGGTCCTGGGCCTGTGCCCAGCGGTTCACACCTTGACCTCGTCGTCCTCGGCATCGGCAAACTCGAAGGTGTTTGCTTGCACCGTGCTGGGCACAGAGGCCCTGCTGCCTGCCTGGGGCGCCCCCCACTCTTCATCCAGGCTCTCCCAAGAGGCCCGGCCCTGAGGCAGCACCTTCACCAGCTCCCGCCGAGCATCCATCTCAGTATAGTGGCGGCTGCCCCGGCTGCCACTCCAGCCTGCTCCCCAGTGCCTGCCAGGGGCCATGTCAGCAGGTGCACGGGGACACTCTCCCACCAGGCTGGCCTTTGCCTCAGCCACTGGGCCCAACCCAGTGGTTACCCCGTTGGGGCACCGTCCATGGGGTGGAGGGCTTGAGGCACGGGCTGGGGGGTTTGCAGTAGGGGCTGGAGGGTTTGCTGCAGGGGCTGAGGAGTTTTCCGCGGGGGCTGAGGCTGGGGTCTCAGCTGCAGAGGTGTCAGAGAGGCTCATGACCCCCAGCAGCTCGCTGAGGAGAGAGGGCCCAAGGTCGAGGTCCAGGCGGAAGGACAGGAGGGAGTCAGAGCGGCGAAGCTCAGGTTCAGAGGGGAAGGAACTGTCGCGGTCTTGGTCACGAGGCTTTTCTTGGCGAGGCACGCGGGAGATAGTGCAGAACCCGGAGTCCAGGCCTAGAAGAGAAATGGGGAGCAGGATCAGAGCTGGGGTTCCTGACCAGCAATTGGGGAGGGGAGAGGTAGGACCAACCCCAACTTGCTATGTGTACTCTCTAGCAAGTCTCTCCCCAACCTGGACTCAGTTTTTCCCTTCTTTCCAATGCAGGGAAGCCTGTAGTCTCTCATGGGATCCTCCCATCAACCCTGGAAGCTGACAAAGGACATAATCTTCGTTCCCATTTTACAGAGGAAGAAAGTGAGGCTCAAAAGGGAAGGGCTCGCCCAGGGCTAGTCTGATGTGGTGGAACCCAGCCTGGAGCCCAGATCTCCTGTCTCAGTTCCCACTGTGAACTTGGCCATGGCCCCTGGTCTCCTCCCATGACAGTGGCCAATGGCTGAAGGGTGAACCCACAAAGTATGGGCTGGTCGCAGGGATGAAACCAGCAGCCAAGGTCTGACTGCACAGAAGTCACAGACTCAAAGGATGCCCTCCAAAAGTCCAGCCCCTGGCTCCAGGGCTACACAGCCTGAGGCACAGCGGTGTTACTGTGCGCCAGCCCTCAGGGGGTTCTGAGCAGCGGCCCGCAGGGGGAGCACTAGAGGCAGCCGCCGGTCGTGGGGCAAGGGCTGCAGCGCAGGGAATGGCCACCAGGTGGCAGCAGGAACCTTGGTTCCCAGGTGAGCTGTCCAGCTGAGCCGGGCAGCAGCCGCCTCCCCCCCCAGGGCAGGGGGCCCTGGCTTCTGTCCCTGTGAGTGGTTGTCCAGATCTGTCAGTGTATTTTAGGGAGTGGGCTGGTTCCCACCACCTGACCCCTCCCCACCCGTGGCCTGGGGTTTGGGCCTCACCTCCACGGTGATGCCAAACTACTATGGGGAAAAGAGCTCACTTGGAGGCTTGGGTAAACCATTGAACCCTGTGGGTCTCAACATCTGAAAAACGGGCAGACAACCCAGGCCCTCACCATAACTGGAGTGGCCGTCGGTGGAGGCAGCGGGGCTGCTGTTGAAGCTGAACTTGCTCACCACGAGGCTGTCGTAGGCGGCCTGGTTGAGCTGCGGCAGGGAGATGGCGTTCTTGATGATGGGGGAGACGGCAGGTGGAGCCGGCGAGGCTGGCTGTGGGGTAGCTATCCGCCGGGGCAGCGCCCCCACTCTGCGCACCTGCTGTAGCTTCTTGGCCAGGAAGCTGCGGGGTGAGCGGTGGGTGCCTCCGGAGCTGCCACCGTGGTTGCTGAGGAAGGAGGTGTCACCAAAGACGTCCCCACCACGGCCCACGTGCATGGTGTGTCGGAAGTCCCCGAGTGGGGGGCTGATCATGTCTGCAGTCAGCCGCCTCTTCCCATGCGAGCTGGACACCCAGCCCACGGGTGAAAGCTTGCCCAGGCTCATGACAGGGGGTCCTCGGGTTCCCTGGGGGCCCGGCATCAGCTCTGGCAGGTCACAGGTGCTGGTCCATGCCCAGCTGGGGCGTGGGGCAGTTGGCGGGTCCACTTTGCAGTTCCCTTCTTCTTGGCGTCAGGGGTGGACGGAAGCTGTTCCTCTGTTCTCCTAAGGTGCTGCCCCCAAATGCTGAGGCTGTGGGGGGTCCATGGTCTCTCCTTGAGGCCTGGCTCCTGGCCTGGTGGGATCAGCTGTAGATCCAAAAAGAGTAGGCACAAGACGCGCCTCAAACATGGACAGCCCCTCTCCTGCCCAGGTGGAGACCTGAAAGAAAGACAGAAGGTGATGGTAGGCCCGGGGACCCTGGGGCCAAACAACATCAGCTACAGAGAATGCACAATGACCACCGATGATGGGGGCAGGGGCACTGACAAACTGCTGACAGACGCGGAGGAGGACTCACTGTGTGGGTCCGTGCATAGGAAACTTAACAGGCAAAACCGAACAATTCAGATAGAAATCAGAATTGGGGTTGCCTGTGAGCAGGTATTGATGGGGAGGGAGCACAAAAAATTCAGAGCTGTACACTTACAACGTATATGGTCATTTATTAAACGCCTACTAAGTGCCAGTGACTTATGTTCATCACTCACTTAACCCACACAAGAGCCCTGAGGGAGGCACTATAGTAGAGGGGAGAAACTGAGGCAAAGAAGTGAAGTGACTTGCCTGAGGCTACACAGGAGGAAATGGAGAATTGGGGCCCCTAAACCCAGGTCCCTGGAACCCTAAGCTACACTGCCTCCTGCTGGATGGTTGAGCAAGTCACCTCCCTTCTCCGTAGGTAAAACTGTCTTCCAGTGAGAGTGGCGGGAGGGAGGAGGTGCTCATGGAACCTCAGTGACCGGCTGTGCAAACAGCCTATACAGAGGCTCCTAAGGACCCTCCCCCTTCAAGGTGCTTCCTGAGAAAAGGATCCTGTGGTCAAATGTGGCTTTTTCCAGATGTCTCCTGCATGCCCGAGGCTCTGACAAGGCCCGGAGGAAAGAACTTTGTCATAGTTTGTCACAGTTTTGTAGGAGCCTTGTCGTCTCATCAGGGAAAATGTTTTGGAAAAAGCTTGGCTGGTACCAAAAGCTATTCCCTTGCCTACTCCCTCCGCTCCTAATCTCCCGCAACCAATTTTTTTCTGAACTCCTCTTGGTCTGACCCTATCCCTTCTAGTATCATAGAAAGTTCTGGCTAAAGGATGTCTATGGGCCTATGGTCCAACCTCCAGTTTTTCTGTGGCCCAGAGAAGGGTCAAACTTGCTCAAGGTCACATGAAGAGAGCTAGTCAAGACTTGAACTCAGAGCTTCTGACTCATATTGTTTGACAGGTTCCTGGAGCCGACTCTCGTCTCCCCAGATTGGCCACGCGCTCTGAGGGTGGGGCACCGGTCTGGATTTTCCTGCCTTCTTCCTTCCCAGCACCCAGCTTGGTCTCTGCGCATGGCAAGTGCCAAATCAATACCGGTTTAATCAGGAGATCTTCGTGCCACAGGATAACCTTCATGCTAAACGACCACCCCTTGCTACCTTCTGAGCGAGGGTCAGTGTGCGATTCAGTGGCCTCACCATGTGACCTGGGCAAGTCACTTACCTCCACGGGCCTGGGACCTCAGCTGATAAAAGCTGATAATGATCCTTAACTCCAACACCTAGATCTGAGATCTGAGTCTCAACTTTTTTTTTTTTTTTAACATTGCTGCCACCTCCAAGCATAAAAATCTCAATACTGCCCTTTGAATGTTATTTGAAATTCAAAATAGGTTAAATAACAAGATAAAAACAAAGAAGGCAATAAAACAAAGCTTGCTTTGTTTTCTGACTACATTCTCTTTCCTTCCCACCATCTGACCCTCCCCCAACCATAACTCCTCCCCTGGGGGGGGCGGTTCTGAATCATCCCTTCCCCTGGCACCCCTGGCACCAAGAAGTCCCCGCGGAATGTTTGCTGTAGCTATGAGTCCTGCTGCAGTTGGCCACCCATTACGTGATGTCATCTGATTCTCCAACAGCCCCTCAGAGGTGCCGGGTTAGCCCCTTCCACAGGGAGAGCCATGGTTTGGAGGGAAGGGACTTGGCCAAGGTCACATGGCAGGTACATGGCACAGGCCAGGCTCGCCTGCTCTGCAGATGAGAGATGACTGTAAGAAACTGTGGTGGGGGGGAATAATTCTGAAATGCCACGTGAAGAGGTCACTGTGTCTGCCATGTGGCCACACCTACTTCTCTCCTATCCCCCCAATTCCCTGGCTCTTGAAGCAGCCCCTCCTCTCTCAGCAAAAGGGACTCCCACTGAACCCCCATGGCCACTGTGACTTGGGAGACCAGCTTCTGCCTCAATCTTGTGATGATCTCACCTCCCAAATGCCTCTGGGCACCTCCAAAAGGTCTCCACCTGCCCACTGCAGTAGAGAGACCCTGTCATGCTGTGGAGCCGGGGGCAGGACACCAACACTGGGGACCTGTTTCTCCCACGTGGAAAACAAGAATAGCATAGAAGGCTGGGGCCCTCCCAGGAACACTGGAAGGGAGGAAGGTGCTGTGATTAAACTCCCAGATGCTGGAGCAGGGCGGCTCTAGGTTCAAACCCAACATCCTTATACTAACATCTCTCATTCTGGGGACTCTAGGTGGCAGCTGTTTGGCACTTGATGCTGACACAAGGTATTGCTGGCAATCAGGTGTGTGCTCTGGATGTCCTCGCACAAGTCTGACCTCCCCTCACTAGCCTTGGAATACTACCTGCTAATGGTCACAACATCCATTTTACAGATGAAAAAACAAGATACGAAGAGAATTAACTTGCCCCAGGCCACAGAACAGAATAAGGGGAGTGGCTGGGAACTTCCCAGGATTCTACCATCAGCAGTAAAGGCCAGGGGAGGGTGAAGACTCCAGGGGTGTGAGGGAGCGTTGCTGGAGGAGGCCATGGTCAGCCCCTGAGCATGGGAAGGGCGGGTCCGGGACCGGGAGACTCAGCTCTGCAGATTCCGTGTGCCTGTGTCCGGGGCGAGCCTGGTCACCATGCAGCCTCGGGGTCCCGGGAGTCCTTACATTCACCCTACAGAGGATAGTCAGGCCTGTGCACATGGTAAGAGTCGCTGGGGTGGTAATGGCCGCACAGACCAGGTTTGAGGCCCCAGGCGGGGACCGCGTTCTAGGAGAGGCCAGCAGGGGCCGCTGTGGAGCCACGTGGTTGGGGGGGCCCGGAGCCGGCCCGACTGCGGGGGTGGCCGAGGC